CAAGGACAAAATTTACCAGTATCTGATTGGTCTAAAGATTTCTTTGTTAATTATAATTACGATTGTACAGCTCATGAAAATGAATCGTCGAAAAGAAAATTTTCTTTGCTGTTGGTGCCTTTTTCTTATGACTCAATATGGGAATCTTTCGTTCATTCAAGTTTCGAAGTCGTGTGATTATAATTGGTATGATTATGAACAATAAATTTTGTTTGAAACGTCATCCAGTAAGAAATACTCTTTCATTGTGCGATCCATCTAATAAACAAACTATTAGGAATTCCACCTTTGAAGTTTCAGTAGTCATGGAGTTATTTCTACAGACATCCCTTCTCCCTCCTTTTGTTTTGGGATTGCAACAGGCTAATACGCTATTTGGGGTTTAAGAGGGCAAGGAATCGAAGCTGGAACCCCCGCATGCCAGGTGAGTATCCTACCAGTGAACCAACGACGCATCCTGTGACTTCTAAAATGCGCTATTATTCAGGATATTTAAAGGCTGAAATAGCTAAGAATAAATTGTGTGATGAATTAAGTAAAGCCTTTACCAGTCAATTCTGTGTTCATCCCTCTAAGGAACATTAGATTATAATTCGTATTGAAAACAAACTATAGTTTCTGGTCACTTCCATCTGTCTGTCCTGTTATGTGTTCCTGTGAAGCTGCTTACATATCTTATCGAAGTGCATCTCTAAATGCTATTGCACGTGTAAGAAAATGGAAATCAATCAACAGCTTAAGCTCTGCTTTATTTTAATCACTCCATCAAACTCTTTCTTTACAAAGTGAAACTGAATATTTCGAAAATATTCAAAACCGCAATATGAAAATAGAATCCTTTTTAGTTCATCAGTTCAAACCCGATTTTCGCTTTCATAGTATTGAGAGCAATCTCTCACTTTACCTTGGTCATAATCTTTCTATGACTTCTTCAGTTTCACTATTATCTGTCACTATCACTATTATCTGGACGTAATAAAATATTACGTCCACGATCCTCTTACTTTGTACTCATTTGATGCCAGTTTTCAACTGTTGTTCCCTTTTCCCAACAACTAATACGTCCTAGATTACTACTCAACCGTTATCGTGAAGAAACCATAAAATACCAATAATCCCTTCAGAAAAAGATGTCATTTTTATTGACCTGTTAGTTATTTTTGTGTTTTTTTAATTACTGTAAATATCACCAGTAATACGTACTTTTCAAAAATTAACCACTGAGAAGAATGTTCCCCTTTGAATTATATTTCATTAATTATTTTTTTTAGGAAGGAATAGATGAGAAAGGGAATGGCTCTCTTGGGACACGTGGAAGCTGATGAAGGATAGAGGGATGTTGAAACGGAAGATAAGCCAGTGCAGAGATGAACGAACGAAGCCGAGTTCAATCTACAACTCACCGAATAGAGAAGTGAAGGAAACTGCCAGGAGAGGCAAAAGACAATTCTACAACACATTGGTAGCTGTAGAGGAACAGACAGAAGTTGAGAGAGACATCAGAACACTATATCAGATAATCAGGTCTCTATCGGGGAAAAGTCAACAGAGATAAGACAAAATAGGATAAACAAACGAAACTCTGGACAGATCACTTCAAAGAACTCTTGAGACGATCTCCATCTGTAACTTCTCCAGAATTGCCATCAACAGCAAAAGAAGTACCAGCGCAAACCAATCTTCCGACTAAAGGAGAAGTCTTGAATGTCATAAATTTACTGAAAGCCGTGAAAGCAGGAAGACTGGATGGGATTTCTCTGAAAGTACTGAAAATGGATTCAGAGACCTCAGCTGACATGCTCATGCCACTACCAAAGAAGATACAAATGGAAGGGAATGCACTTGCCCAAAAAATACACAAAAGGAAATTGAGATGGACGCGACACACATTGAGGAGACCGTTGAATGATATCACATACCAGGTCTCCGAGTAGAGCCTTGATGAGAAGCGACGAGTTGAGCATCGGTTTTAGAGTAATATGGAGAGAATCATATGAGAAGATGAGAGCTTATGGGCAATCATGGAGCCAGCTTAAGAAGACTTCAGAGAAAGTGATGAAATAGTGATGTGCTTCTGGAGCCATATGTTCCACTCGCAATCCAAGGGAATATTAATAATAATAATGTAATAGCTTTTGGGATTTTTGCCGAATCATCATACACGGAATATAAGATTCCTTTTATCACACTGGTGTAAAAAGTAGAACATGTTTACCTGAATAATGTCGAGGTAAAAAATGTTGTGAACATTACTGTAATCTATCTAACAATCCCTAATTACCATTAAATCACAGTACTTAATTTATAAAATAAATTTTGATCATGTATAAAGTTTGACGCGCTTTTCGATTACTACGCTTCATTTGCTCTGTTACATAAAACTCTTATTTCTCTGGCGTTTCTTGCCAGAAAGTTGTTGAACTTATTGTAATTATTTGACTTTCGAACATTGAATCTGTGGAAATAATCTTGTTGACTGATGATATCAATAACTATATGTTTGGAATTTTGTGACTGTTTAACACTATCTAATATCTATAATTGTATATATTGTTGGAGTAACATGTCTAAGTCGGCGAAAATCAGTGAGTCTATGGTTTTGATATAATTTTTGTTAACTGTGTTTGACAGTGATACTACTGCTAAGGCTCTTTTATTGTTGTTGTCGCTGCCCTCCCTGTTGTGAATGTTTTTTCCTTTTGCTGGTGTTCTTCTGGTTGTTTTATACCTTGTTTTCCTGATTCTAAGGGGAGCAACCAATGAAGTCACTCCTCTATAAACTACATATACATGTAATAAATAACCCCCTTCTCAGACGTGAGGCTAGCAACCCCACCCTGTAAACAAAGTTGCTTCAGAAAATTCAATACGATGAGTCTCTTTGCGACGAAACTAAAGCTATGTGTGGGGAAGTGAAACGTTCACACTATGTATGGGACTGTCAAAGCTAGCCAGACTGCAAACGAGATGAAAAGATATGGTATTCAAGTGCTGGGAATATGCAAGAGCAGATGGAATGGGAGTGGACTCACCAAATTTTTAACGGTTGAGTCAGTGATCTACTCCGGTCACCCAGAAGACAACCACATGCGCACCGAGGGTGTGTCTATCATGATTTCACCATTGGCAACGAAGGCCCTGATACAATGGAAGGCGATCTCACCCAGGATAATGACCGCCAGATTCAACTTCAAAAGAAGGATAGTGTCAGTTATACAATGCTATGCACCAACAAACAACGCAGACCTCGAAAAGAAAGAAGAGTTCTACAGACAACTACAGGCGACGATGGACAATACTCCAGTAGATAAAATTAAAAGCCTAACGGGAGACATGAACGCCAAACTGGGACCAGACAACGCAGGAAGAGAACTCATCATGGGTAGAGAAGCTCTCGGAAAGACGAATGAAAACGGAGAACTCTTCGCTGACTTCTGCGCCTTCAATAAACTAGTGATTGGTGGCAGCGTATACAAGCATAAGGATATCCACAAGGCTACATGGGTGTCACCAGACGGGCGAACCAAAAAACAAATTGACTTCATCTCAATGCTGCTCAAGGAAGTGGAGACGCAGCTTACTGGACACGAAAGTAAGAAGAGGAGCAGACGTCGGCTCAGACCACTATCTCGTACAAGGAAGACTCCAAATCAAATTAAAAGCTTTCAAAGAAACAGAAATTGCAGATGAGCCACAAGCCAAGTTCAATATTCAAAAAATGAAGGATCAGGCCACAAAGAACATCCTCACTGCAATCATAAGGAAAAGGTGGAGACACAAATCAACACTAGCGAAGAGACCAGCGTCGAAAAACACTGCAACAACCTGAAAGTGGAGTGGAGTCAAACCTGCATGGAAGTTCTAGGCAGAAAGAAGAGACAGGACAAGCAGTGGCTCACTACGGACACATGCAGACTAATAGCAAAAAAGGGAAGGATGTTGAAACAAAAGATTATCCAGTGCATCGACCAGCAACAAAAACAGGAGTTGAATGCAAGCCACAATATACTGAACAAGAGAGTAAAGAAGAGTGCCAGGGAAGACAAAAGAAAGTATTATGAAGCTATGGCGAGTGAATCAGAATAAGCTGCAGGCAAAGGAGACCTCGCAACACTTTACCAAGCAATGGGGTTTCTATTGGGGAAGAGATTAACACGAATTAACCCAGTGAAGGATCACAATGGAAAGTCAATCACCAAGGAGGTGGGGCAAAGGAAACACTGGGCTGAACATTTCAAAGGGGTGACATGGAGGAGGTCATGTGAAGAGTAGATGAAAGCCTGTGGCAGACGTGGAGTCGGGTGAAAACGTTGGCAGAGAACCGAACGCAATGAAGACTAGAGGCTGAAGCCCTATGTTCCTCTAGGAACTAAAGGAAACAATAGTAATAATAATTTTGCTCACATATACTAACTTTTCCAGTCTACATTATTTTAGAAGCTTTCTGTATATACTTTGATAATATTTGTCAATTATCATCTTAAGTCGATCACTCTGTAACCACATTCAGGTTTGCGCTGTATTATTCTAGAACAAATATTTTTCGGCTGTCGAAAATCTTAATCAGAATAATAACTGTTAATAAACCTTTGATATGACAGTCAAAAGTCGACTTAATTTAAACGACATGTTGCTAAGCCAATCAAATACAAGGAAATAATTGTGTTCAAATACTAGCTCACTTGTCATCCTGTCTTCTGAATGACTTAGCGACAAGCCGCATACCTTCAGTCTCGAAAGTCAGGTTTTTCAACTACATAATGTCTAGTCATCAAAATGAATTACTGTGCATTATGTCTTATATTTTGGTAAATTTAACTCTGCCACAATGACGCGATACCACCTCGCATGTAGATGAACAAAAATTAAAAATAAGTGAACCAAAAAACAGAATCTAACGTTTGATCATAAAAAAAATTTGAAATTTACAAAGTAGCCTCCATACTTGCGTGTTTAAAGCTCTGATGTTTATAATCTTCTGTAAAGTAACTAACACTCACTTGTTTAATTTTCGCATAGATAATTTAATTGATTGAAAATCTGGTCTCACACCTGGATCATCATCCCATGCCTGACGGATTAACTGAACTAAGTCTTCAGAACAACCTTCTAGGGAATCCAATGTTGGTCGAAATGGGGGTTTTCTGCACTCTCTGACTTCTTTTATAATATACTAATGTGAAATTGCAATAAAAAGGCATATATATATATATATATCATGTCATATCATATATATATAAACACAAATTAAAATAATAATTCAAAAAAGGGAACCAGGGTTCGAACCTATTGGTGAGCACTACTGAACAGTTCAGAATTACGGTGAAACCAGTACCTCTTCGTTTTCTATGATTCTCTAAATGCGATATTGGATCATCGCGGTACCTACATTGGAACAATTATAACACATATTCGAAGATTTACAGGCGAAAACCAACAAGTTAGCAAAAGAGGCGGAAAAGACACGAATTCAAATGAACATAAAGAAGGTAGAAGTGGTGAAGATACCTAACAACCGACAGCAACAACAAACAATCCCTATCAGCTGAGAAATGTAAAGGAAGTCACCTCTTTCAATTATCTTAAAACCACCGTTTCTCCTACAGGTGAAACACATGAGGATGTCAGAGCCAGCCACGATCAGAAAACCAAGACACACATTCATTATTCTGAAATCAGCCTGGAAATCTACTCAGCACAAGGGACGAAAACTGGATTTCCAACACTAATGTATGTAATCAGTGCTTGTATTTAGTTCAGAGACTCGGTGCGCGGTGCGTCAAGGAAAGCATTTCCAACAGGTTGTAGACTTTTGTCAACAGTTGCTTTCGTTGTCTCGATACTGGAGATCAGATGGCAGGTTGGTAAGGATAAGCAACAAGAAACTCAGGGAACGAAGCAACTGATGACTTATCGCTCAAGAAATACGCGGAAGGGGGTTGAGATGGGTGGGTCATACACTGAGGTGGCATTATCCTTGTACTGGATTATTTCATAAATAGACATTTTACTAATAACAAAGTGGTGATACAATAGAACTGATCTACTGTTCCAAATTTGCAGATATTACATGTTAATAAAATGCCATCCACTCCAATCCTGTACAGTATCATCAACTCACTAATTTTTATTCATTTAAACGAAGCTAATTTTTTCATAGATTAAAATTAATGAAGACAGTATAAACATTTAACAACATACTTACATCTGGTTCACAATTTTTAAAATTTTGTATATAAAATACACCTTTACGATATACAATTTCCTGACAGACAATAGCAAAACTATAAACATCGCCTTTTATTGATTCACGTGGATAAATTATTGTATCTCCATCAGGCAATAACTCTGGAGCTGTCCATAGTAAATCTACAGTGAGGAGAAGAAGAAGAGGAAGACGAAATGGAACATAGAAAATAAACATAAAAGTCTATATGTTAATTACAATAATGGCTTTGATACTTTTTCTCCGAGAATTGATTTGTGAAAAATAACAGTAGGATTATTTTAAAATCATTTGTAAAGGAAAGAATCTCTTATAATAAAAGATGTTCCAGTGCATCGAAATCCTGACAACGTAGAATTAATAAAGTCTGTTAACAATAGTCATCAAATATGAGACTTCCTTAGATAACCTTTACACTTTGTAAACTTTGGAAAATAATTGTTAGAACTCTTTTTTCTAAAAACTCTTATTTGTATTGTTGTTTTTTTAAACGACACTGTTAAATCCTCCAATCAGAAATGACTCTTGTATAACACGATTAAAATGCTACATATTTCACAGCACTCTATACAGCTGAGCTTTCTTACTTCTTATTATTTGACTGATACTACTCCCCATAAGACAAGATTAATATGTGTACTATCAATAAAAATGGTTGTATAAGATTTGTTGTTCTGTAGACTGGTAGAATTTTTCTTAGTGAGAGGTATTATTTAGCACTCAGAATGTCTCTCTCTACGTATACGAAACGACTATTTTACTAAAATTAAATATCACTAATCAGACCATTTTAGAGCCACGCGTGTTGGTACAAACTTTCATTTCAGCAAGTAGATCTTCTGAAGTTCAAATTCTGATAGTACACCTTAAAAAATAAATCAAATTTTTGCCTTCTATGCCGATTTCCAAATAACATTTCCTCGACTGATTTCAAAAGTTCTGTTAACAAAAACTCAAGGCCTTACAATCAACTGAACTAATAATTTGTTATATGACGTAATTCATATTTCAATAGTGTCATAGGCGAATTGCCTAATTTGAAGCATTAATAAGACAAATAGCGCCAGAGACAGGCACATACATATAAACACATACTGAGTTTAAAACAGATAACCCTTTTGGTAAATTCGGATAGAGTTATTAAAATATGACGTTTATCTGAAAAATCACATGTATTTAGAACAACACGTTTCTGAGATTCAAATGTTGGTTGGATTTGATTTGATTGGTTACAGGATTGCATCGTGAGCTGAAATCGTTCAGAGAATCATTGGAAAACCTGGGAGTACTGGATAGTTGTTTCGTCGTAGTTTTGGACTCTTCACAGTACGCGTCCCCTCAGGGTTTGAACGCATGACCATCCCGGTTACAAGGCAAGCTAGTAGACCATTAAGGCACTGGGACCCGGTCAGAAGTAGAAGTTGATGGTCCAGTGGATTGGATCTCAAAAACTTATTGGTATACGAGATCGCCCTGTAACCAAAAGGTCTTATATTCGAACCCTCGGGGATGTGTCCTGATGAAGAGTCCCGAACTAAAACGAAACAGCTGTCCAATACTCCTGGGTTTACCAATGGTTCTCTAACATTTCTGCCAGTTTGATCACACATTTACTCGCCATTTCAATTTATGTGAAAAAAATGAATTAAATGAAAGGTTGGGTCAAACAAATGAAATAATGAGGGACTAAGGAGAAAGGGGGATAATAAGTGAGACCACATTTCGTAATAAAATCTGATAAAGATTACCAGAGTAGGTTATGGTTAATAATGAATTGTTTTTATACACAGGGAAAAGGGGAGCTTAGTTTTACGAATGGCTACTGCTTGCTTTGGTATGCGTACTTGACAGTTTTTACAAGTAATTTTGAAATCTGTTTGGATATCAGTTTTGTGATTCATATCAATACTATTTTTTGTTATAGACAAGGTTAGTATTCTGCCACGTGCGTTTATTGAGGTTTTGGAGTTCAACTGTTTTCCCAGCAATGTACTGATATGTTCTCTCACAATGACGTGCAAGTCGCGATTGCTCCTCCCTATGTGTCTATGATCAGGCACACATGTAAACTGGTATACAATATGAGATGCAACGTAATCATATGTGTAATTTCGAGGTTTGTGGTGGTGTATATTTTTCGTTTTTTCCAATAATTATAAGTAGGGCTCAATAGTAAGTTTCATGGAATTTAGTCTGTCTTAAAATCCTACTACTTGTTATGTATCTGTAAGTTAATTTGATACAAACATCCGTCGTGGGGACACAGTAGACTATGGGCTTTGAACTAAACTGTCCTATAAACTGGTTTGAAAGCTTCAGAGGATATGTTTTTTAACAAGTGTATTGGTCAATATTTTATTGCTATCATTTTTTGCATCAGTTGCGCAGATACGCTGAATTCTCTCACAAATAAACATTTAACCAAACATCTCTTTTATTGAGATGGATGTAAACTGTGGCAGTTTAAGTACCACCCTGTCGGAGTAGGCTTTCTGTAATCCGATCACTTTATTGAGCCATCCTCTCTCCTCTTCTAAGTTTTGGAATGCGAGTTAATTATGCTGACGCGATAGTCAACCGTAAAATTAAGCTCCCCTTCTCCCTGTGTATAAAAACAATTCATTATTAACCATAACCTACTCTGGTAATCTTTATCAGATTTTATTACGAAATGTGGTCTCACTTATTATCCCCCTTTCTCCTTAGTCCCTCATTATTTCATTTGTTTGACCCAACCTTTCATTTAATTCATTTTTTTCACATAAATTGAAATGGCGAGTAAATGTGTGATCAAATTGGCAGAAATGTGTCATTCAAAATACATCTAATTTTTCAGATAAACTTCGTATTTTAATAACTCTATCCGAAGATAAGGAATTAACAATGAAATAGAAAAGTCTATCCAATAACTTCTGATTGCAATTATTTATCTGATCATTTGTAGGATTTATGTAAATATAATACACACAGTCATAATTGGAGTTAAGACAAAAATCCTAAATCACAGTAGGACTCAAACCAGATGCCTCTAAATTATGATCCCAATGATCTACTTACCGAATGAAGTACAAAAAAAATTACTGTTAGTTTTTTCTACACACAGAGAGATGATAAATCTGTCTGCTGCTGCAGGCTGTTTTCTTTTTTGTTCTCAATACTGGATACGACTACTACTCTAGGATTGGTTAAGTTAATAAGAGAATGAAAATCTTTCTTATTAAATGGAAACATCAATTCTCAACTGTGTGAATTGAGATTTTATAAAAGAAAATACTATTTTAATCGATAAACGATGAATAAATACAGTTATAGAATACTATATATATATATATATATATATATATATATATATATACTATCTGATTAGATAAATCACAATAGTAAATTAAGTAAGAACACACACGTGTTGGATGCACAGAATTATATTAGGATAGAGTGTAGTGGAAGAAAAAACTGAAAGCAAAACAAACGATTATTTCAACAAATATTTTCTCACTCTCTACATGCACATATCACTAATACCCGATAGGTAAGCAAGAGAACGGAAAAAATGGAATAAACTGAAAACTATTTGGTTGTATGGTATCAACATTTACTACATTCCATCTGTACACATTCTAGTTCAATTTACTGCTGTCATTATTGTGTTGTTGTCTGTTTTTTTTACAAAAGTATCTTCGTGATGTGTTAAATGTCGTTTGCTTTATTTACGAGCACTATTTATCAGTTTATGAAAAACACGCACACACACACACACACATCCGTCCTCCGTTCAGAGATAATGCTGCTATTCACATTACCCTATGATTGTAATAATCTAAAGCATTGTTCGATGCTTACAGCTTAGGGAAAAAAGGACTTGAATCCGTATCCTTTAACAGAGCCGAAAGACAATATTGTTATTGGGATGCAAGTGAACACAGATAAACAACCAGTACCAAATATAGGAGGATATAATAAAGATATTCATACATTACTGTGTTGTTGCAGTTTATATTATCGTTCATCTTAACGAAAAAGAGATAAATACATTCGAACTATTAAACCTAAACTATGCATTCAAAAGAAGTTCGTACAGCCATTATCCCTCCCTTGACCTATTAAGACATAACCAACTGATGACTTCTACACCACCTCTTACTTATATTTTCAACCCCTCTCTTATCATCCCTTAATCTTATTACATCTTCATTAAAAACGTGTTTCATTTACTTCCCTTAAAAACTAGCTTTACTTAATCGGTTCATTTGTTTTTACTAGCCTTTATCGACTACTTCCACCTGAATATTTGTTGTTTGTTTAATCATACTGTTCTTTCATTATTCGTGTTATCACAGACTGCCTCACTTTTTCATCCTTATTATTGATAAAACCATTATTATTATTATTGTGACTAACTGCACAATTTATATTCACCATCTTATTATCATATAGACAAAACACCATGATTGGATTATATTTGAATTTTTGGGACTCTTCAGAAGTACGCACACACCGGGATTCGAACCCAGGGTCTTCTGGTTACAAGGCGAGCTCGTAAACCATTGAGCCACTGGGATTCGATCCAATGGTCCTTGAATTCTAACTTCTGCCAATTCACGACATAGCGCGACAATTTCGCAATGTCTTCTTCGATGAGTTACTGCCTCATCTTCAACCTGCTGTACCCTACTGGTCACGGCTTCACACTAGAACCCCAGGTTAACTGCCTGAATAGGGCCAGTCACTAGTGAGCATCAGATTAATTTCCAGTGGTGCTCTAACTGATGTCAGCTCATGATGAAATCCTCCATGCAATCAAACAAAATCCCTACAAAACCAATATTTGAATTTTTATTTGTAAATTTATATATATTAGAGTTAAGCCTGATGAGATCTAATTGGAAACAATATTGTTGGCTTAAATGTGTTGTTATAAATACATGAGAAAAAAACTGATCAGAAGAATTATGAAAAAAACCTTAGAAAAATAATAAAAGTATTTGGTGTTGTTTTCAAAAGTTTAAACGCACATAACAAATCATACATACAGAAATTATATATATATATATATATATATATGTATATATTTCATGAAATAATCTATCAGTTATCTTCATATTTTATTCACAAGAAGGATAATTCTTCAAATAATTGTTATTATAGATGGCTCACTCAAATCGCTGGCTACCTTCCTTAATTTCCATCCAGCATGATGCATCAACTTCTTTCCATTTCTCGCTTTTTTGATCTTCCAATTATGCATCCTTGGTATACAACTTAAACTGATGCAAACTTTTAATTGGCTTCCAACCTGCCACTTGCAGTTTAGGAAGAAATAGAAGGAAAATGTTGTACAGGATTGAGTCTTATTTCAGATAGAATGATAGTGCATTGTAGGATATACTGTCAATGAATATTTACTTGAAGATACTGTACAGGGAGTAAATATTTTGCAAGAAATTACACTGGGGATTCTGTATTGTGTATAGACATAATTTCTAAAATAAAGTTGATATTATTATTATTAACCGCGATAGTACAAACATGCTATACTTGATCTATGCATACCAAATGCTTATCACTTTCACACACACACAGAGGAACACAGGCCTACACATCCTACTTCATCATGAAAAGAGAATAATAATAATCAAGATCATCGATAAAATAAATGGATAATGATAACTTACTTCTATGATAAATATAGCTGCCAACTTCTGATTCTGATGGTGGTGGGCCACGAATATGCGGTAGACCGAAATCAGTGATTTTTAGTACAAAACGTGAATCTACCAAACAATTGGAACTTTTCAAGTTACCATGTGGACCAAATATTTGATGGAGATACATAACACCCTTAAGATGAAAATTCAAAAAGAAAAGAATGGTGAGGCTTAGTTTACACTTTCCAGTGTTTCATCTGAACTACATTGATAAACAAACACAGAATAAGTTACAGGATTTCATCATGAGCTGATATCAATAAGGAGAACCATTGGAAAACCTGCAGGGAAAACTGGACAACTGTTTCGTAAGCCTAGCTTGGGACTCTTCAGTAGTACGCACCCCACTGACAGGGTTCGAAACCAGGACCTTCTGGTTACAAGGCTAGTGAGCTCACAGACCATTAAGCCTCTGGGACTCGGTCTAATGGCCAGATCATGAATTCTAACTTCTGCCAATTTACGACATAGCGCGACCACTAGCCAATGTCTTCGACAAATATTTGTCCTCACGCCCGACCTGCTGTACCCTACTGGTCACGGCTTCCCACTAGAACCCCAGAATAGGTGGCCTATTCTAATACTCGAAATGAGTAATGCTTGTAAAGTTAACAAATATACAGTGGCAAAAATCAAACGACCAATGAATCCATTGGAAAACATCAGATAAGAAAACTTCTTTATCGGTTTATATTGAAAATGACTTTAATATTTTCATTGAAAGCTCCATTATAAACATTATCAACTGATATGTTCATTTCATCTAAACATTCCTATTTGCATTTATTAAGATATATTTATTGGCAGTATATAATTTCACCTTAAATATACTGCCTATAGGGTCATTTTCTCCAACAATACTCAAATGACGTGAACGAAAAAATTGGTTGATAAAATTTAACCTTTTATGACCTGAAAATTCTGGAATTCACCCCCACAAAATTAATTCAGTTCTAAAAAAAATAAAAACTACGTTAATACATTTCCCTTAAATAATTTTCAAAATATTGTCAAATTTTACACTGAGTCTATTTTTTTTATTCAATGCAACTAGTCCCGGGTTCGAATTTTTTATATTTTTTTAAATATTTTATTATAGCTTGATTCCACAGAGTATTTTGGTACAAGTGTGAAATTTTCAGCATGTGATATCGGTAGCCCAAATTTAGCTGGCCGACCATAGATATCAGGTGTGCGTCGGCGACGGATCGAACCTCGGACCATGTGCATGGTCGGCGAGAGTCCTAACCGCTGTGCCAACGACGCACGAATTCTGCTATACCTACCTACTTCATTCTGAGTAGCTAAGTAGTATCACCAGCTCTTCCACAATAAGTGTGGTTCAAAACCTGGTAAGTGAAAATCTTTTCTGCATAATTGAGTTTTAGCTAACTAACTGCTTCCAAAACATTCTTCATGCGTAGTGAAGTCAGCAAGTGAGTAACCCAGATAATTAGGTGAATGGATCAGCTTCTGATGACATGATTGTTCATCGAGCTGCTCAGCATTCGTGTACACGTTTATGCATTTGATCATGATCTAGAATTTAACTGGAAGAAATATTGATATTGCAGTCCCAAAATTTCATAAATGAGGTGATACTTCAATTAGTGATACATTGATTGCAATTTGAGTGCCTAAACCAATGATCTAAAACCCTATTGGTTATGTGTACCTATTCTCCACTTGCTATAGTTTTCTGGCTGTTTCAATTAATAAAGGGGATGAAAATAAAAAATGACGACAAAACAGTTAGATAAAAATATCACCCTAATGTATAAATTCAGAGACTGAAAGGTGAAATAGAAGAGGTAACTGAAAACTTGTTGAATGATTCATTAGGCGAAGGAAAACAGTGATGATATGATCTGTGGTTTTTTAATGCTTTCCATTTATCTTATTTCACTCCTACCCTACCCTTTACCCAACACATCTAAAGTGTTTCTGATGGGATTTTCTTGAATTTTCTTTAGTGTATTGATATTATAATGGCAGAACTCAAGAGTATTCTGTAACGAAATTATTTATTAGTAACTCAATGTACAGATATTAGTAAAATACATAAACCATATATTAAATTACAATTCGCATATATCTTCCGCATTGGGTCTCTCTTGTCTTCAATTCATGTTTTCTATGTTATTTCGCAAGAACTGTTCATTTCTTCTTTTCACCACTAAAATCCATATCTCCGCTTTTCTATATTCTTGTAGATGATAGATTTATATTCTACTTATAGATTTTACCAGTAGCACATGCCACAATATGACGGTTAACAGGGATAAACAAGTCAAAATACACGTGTAGTTTCTGCAAATTCAGTTATCATAATCTTGTGCAAAGTGTGTGAACAGTACTTGAAAGTTGAGTCGGATAGCTTAGATTCTTGAATATCTGTTAATGATTATTCACCTGTGTTTGTGTATGTGTCGCTTAGACGAAGAAATATGACTCCAGTATTTCAAGTAATATTAGTCAAAAGTATTCAACCAAAAAAACCAGCTATCAATCGTTGGTGTCTACATTGTGAACTTTGGAGAAATTTCTGTCATTTTTACAAAAAATATAATATTAACTACCATTTAGATATATTAACCCATTTATCTTGTAGTGATTGAATACACTATAAAGAAGTTTACCATTTCATTACTGTATACACTGTAATTAACAGATATATACAGTTTGATAACTAAGCATAGGGATAATCACAACACAAAGAGATTTCAAGGTAGATTACATCCTCAAACGATGTCAGTTGAAGGAGTTGTGAAAACCAGGGACCACTGGGCAGGTCGTTCATCATGGTTTGGGACTCTTCAGCATTACGCTCCAACGACATGACGAGGGATCCAACCCTCTAGGTTATGAGAAAATCAGGATCTTATGGCCCATGAATTCTAACTTCTGCTTCTTCCCGACTTATATAGCACCTCCGCCAGCCAATGTTATCGACGAGTGCTCACCGTCACAATCGATGTGCTATACACCCAACAGTCACTATTTCTCGCCCGAACTGTAGGAAGTCCACCTCGTAATCGGTCACTAATGAGAAGTAGGTTAGTTTGCGAAAGTGTATTCATCATTAGAACTCTGCCTATTACCTTCATATGAGTATTCTTATAATGAAACGATATAATTCATATTACTATCTATTAGTGTAAATGTTTGATGAATCACTATCAGAAAGAGTCAAGATGACAATAATTTAGAGCTACGCTTTCAATGAAAATTCTAGTCGTCATCTTCAGTTCGAAGTTGGTAAACAAAAGCTGTTAGTATTTGTCAATCTGAGATATTATCATTATAATCAGTAGTATTAATTCATATTGCTCAATATTATTATGACAATAATGATTTTTACTTACTCGACATATATCTTGCATTAGTGAGAATTTAAACATCCAATCTAATTTGATTTGTTCATTTTCTAAGACATCTTGAAGACTTCCCTTTGGACAATATTCATAAACAATACACTGATGTGGTACTTCTAAGCACACACCAATTAATCGACAAATGTGATCACAGTTCAAATCTTTCACCTGATTTTTTCAGAAGACACAATGAAAAGAAAATTAAAGAATACAAGCAGCAGTGGTTAACTAGAAGAGAGAGAGCTCAGGTGATCAAATGAATATATATTTTTTTAAATTATTGGGAATATTTGTTTTCTATGACATAAACCTTTATTATAATGAATATCATATACCCAATGCCCAAATTTTTTCAAACCGTTAAAAGTCAACTTGGTTTGGACATGTATGGTTTCTAATGAATTTTTAAAAAGTTTATTTAACACCGTCAAAAAGGACAAAAAACCATTTAATAAGGCTATTAAAAAACACAGAAGTGATGATAAACACTATGAGTTTAATTCGCTTACCATCTATCTCTTCTGTATTCCCATTAAGACAATGGAGAAGAATGTGCAATTATACACTTTTATTTCTTGCCTATAGAACTGGTTTAAGTGTTTTGTGTTATTTACTCTAAATATTTTGCATAACTGCGAGATATTTCTGTTAATCAATATGTGATAAATTCAGCATTACTACTATTCGATAGCTCTAGATAAGAAAAACTCACAATCTCCGCACACATTAGTCATGGCATAGGCTGACTTTATTATTATTATTTGTACTATTAATAGACTCATAGATAATTTCTTCTTTTCTTCTGAACTCTTTCGTTGCAGGTGTACTGTATTGTGCAACACTAATCAAGTTGTATAGTAAATTCTCAAACTAATTTAGATTGTCAAGTGATTAAATGAATTCATGGAATAAAATGACCAAAAATAATCCAAGGAAAACACACAAGTTCTAATAAATTATTAAAAGAAAAAAAGAGAAAACAAAAACGAATTACAAGTTTTATAAAAAGGAAAACTTGCCTTCTTAACTTCAATTGATAAGGCTTTAGACGGTTCAATACGTGTCTGTCTACGTAAGGGTTTTAAGGCAACAATGCTTTTCATATACAATGCTGTACGTGCGAACATTTGTGAATTAGCTAATTTATCCAAATGTATACCAGATATTGTATCCAATGAACCTAGACTGGATTGTGAATCTTCTGAGTGCTATTCAATAAATATTTGAAAAGTAAACTAATAAATAATGAATGTAAATACATACAAGCTTTTATTTTAAATAAGTAGTAATTAAGTAATAACGATTTTCAAGTGATGGATTTGATTGTTTAGGAGGTAAATTTTGTTACAATGAGAAAAAAACTATCCACAGCTCCTCCTTGGTTTTTAGTAGTTCCTTTAATTGCTGCTTTGTAGTGAGGAATTATTATTAAGTTATGATGACGACAACAACAAAAGATAAAATCAAAGCAACTAATAACTACTGAACAATTTTTTATTCTGCCCTAGAGATGTACAATAAACATGTAGTCGAACGGTTATATGTTGTTTAAGGAAAAAGCACAAAGATCTTTGAAAACAACTATGTCTTTATAAGTGTAATGAAAGATAATAATGAGTTCTGAGTTATCTGTTTATTAACATTTCTGTTTATAACTTTGGTAGAAGTTTGAAACTAACACACTGAAAAAACTTATTTCTCTTTAGAATCTACTTTATACTTTACGGAAACTAGTCAAATAAATTTATAGGTATCATATAATATTCACACCGTTACATAATGAAAAATAAATTGGTCAAATCATCTAGTAATGCTTGCTAGCCAGACTAAGATGATGTGAACAAACAATGTCTGTTTCACTCGTTTAGTTTCGAATTCATCAGCAGTGTACCCACTACATTCAGCTCTATGAGATGATTCGTTTCTTGAATTTTACTAGGTGGAGGATGGCTGACGAACTCAATCACAAACCAGTGAAACGGTCGTCCGATGTTTACATCATTTTGATTTCATTAAGAAGTACTACTATTATTTGATGTGAGTGGTTTCCAAATACTCATACCATCTTGCTATACTGTTTATTTTCTTTGAACGTCACTCATCATGGCATAAAATAGATCGCATTTGGTAATCGAAATGTTTTGGGTTTCTAAAAGAAATAATGGTGGATTTTCATTTCGAAGTGTGTAATTTGTTGAATAAGCAATTTAAAATAATATCGCTTTTGTTCATTTTTGTTGCTTTGTTGTAGCCTATCACTTTATGAATGTTATAGGAAGTTATTTGATGGTATTTAGTTTACAGCAGCTACAACAATAATGATAATAACAGAGAACAAAGAAATGCAGACGAATTCTTTGTGCATCCATCCAACCAATAAAATTCATAAACCAATTTATTCCATATGAACAAAATTTTATATACGTCTCCTTTTTAGAAAGTGAAAAAAAGTAAAAAGCGTAGAAATCAAAGAGGGACTGATAGAGAGGTGGTACTACATTTTAGATTGAATTTCATCTTTTTTGAATTCACGGTTGATCACATTAAAATATCATACGTCTACCTACTATTAAATTGAAAATTGAATAATGCGACAAACAGTGGACAATGAGGAAACAGGCATATAATGGACTCACACAAAAAACTTGGAGGATCCGGACTTCGCCGATGATTTCCCACAAACTGGAAGATATGCAAGCGAAAAGTAACAAGTTGGCAGAAGAAGCACCAAAGATAGGACTTCAGGTGAACATAGAGAAAACAGAGGTGATGAAGATTCCTGGCCAACAACAGCAGCAGCGACAACAGCAGACAACAATAAGCATTAATGGGAGGAACCTGAAAGAAACAACCTCTTTTACCTACCTGGGAAGCATCGTTTCAACTACAGGCGGAACTGACGAGGTTATCAAAGGAAGAATCGGGAAAGCAAGACAAGCTTTCACTACTCTCAAGTCTGTGTGGAGGTCAACAGCACTCAGCACCAAAAATAAGATCCGGATTTTCAACTCCAATGTGAAGTCAGTGTTACTATACGGATCAGAGACTTGCACTGCGCGTCATAAAGAGCACCTCAAACAAACTACAGACCTTCATTAATAGTTGACTTCGCTCAATACTCAAGATCAGATGGCCGGCCAGAAAAGATCAGCAACAAGGAGGGATCTCTGGCAATGAGCGAACCAACCCAGCAGGAACCGATTGTGCACAACAAATTTGCAGGAAGAAATGGAGGTGGATTGGCCATACTCTGAGGAAACCATCAAGTGACATCACTAGACAAGCCATCGCTCGAGTGGAACCCGAAAGGGAAGCGGCGAGTTGGTCGTCAGTGCAAGGGTGACTTGGAGGAGGTCATGCGAAGAGGAGATGAAAACGTGTGGGCAGACATGGAGCCAGGTGAAGACTCTAGCAGAGAACCGAACGCAATAGAGACGCACGGCCGAAGCCCTATGTTCCTCTAGGAATAAAAGGAAACAATAATAATAAATAAACATTTAATCGGAATATAATAATATTCATTATAGCCTTATCTACTTGATAAATTTCGATATTCTGTAATTTTTACTATCTTCTTCATTCCTTAACGTTCCGAGTGTAACATGGGGTTCCAAGCTTTATAAAGTTCCAGTGGAGATGTCGTTTTTATGGGATGAGGTTGCTAGTATAGCACACAATCGTCCCTCTTCCCTGGGTTTGCCATTTGCTGGCAAATTAAAAAAAGTATAGAACTGAGTAGGGCGGCAATTTAACATGGATCCCGTGTGTAGTTGGTGAGCATTCTACCATCAAATCACCGACAACTTGTTCAATAATCAAACCAAGATTTTTAGATCTGTTTATTTAGATCTAACTGCAATGTATTCGCTTTTCTGATCCTCGTAGACAGTGAGAGTAACAGACAATATGTTATTACAAGTTCAACAAATTGTAAAAGAATAATGACCGAGTTTGAAAGGAATTCATTAGCCACAGAAGGACTCGAATCAGAGACTTTCGAGTTTGGTAGTATTCAAACTATTATTGTAGAATATAATACACATTTTCCAAATATGTGATTATGAATATAGATGAGATAAACAGAAAGGCAATGTATTGATCATAAGACTTGAAGAATCAGGTTTCCATTCAAGAACTTTCTCTGTGGTTAACAGAATCAAAAAAACTAATTACTATATAATTAGAACATGATTGCTCAATGCTCCATGATTTACATCAGCCATTAAAATAATATCACAGCGAAAAATATCAACGTTTTTGTTTCTGAATTAACTATTTTATGTTATATAAATATTCTGAATAGATTTTAAGATACATCGAAGTGTTATTTGATATATTTCACTTATTTTTTCATGACTGTTTGCACAGTTGAATGGACAATACCAAGTATTGGTTACAAGGAAATCAATCAGAGTTCAGAGGAAAAGTTAGAGTCAAGTGAATCCCAATGGTAACACCAATGTTATATCTTTAATTCTTTTGTATAAAATGGAAATAAATTGACCGAGTGACTACTATTAAAGAGAAATGACTAGATTAGATAAGCTTCACTTTAAAAACTGCATGATATTTTTGTGCCCAATATTCCAAATAGCTAACTGATGGTAAAAGATAGGTTCCTAAACTGCCGACAAGGTTGTGAAACTCCATCGATGTAGACGAATGAAATTTGTGTTGCACAATCAAAACCTCGGTCTTCGTCGACGTGCAATGCTAGCTGAAATAGGATTAGATCAGAGAGAAATTAGATGTAGTCACACTGAAACATGGTGCCAATCCATGATATTTCTGACTGTTTGTTTGAACAATATAGGGAGATGTAGACTGCTCGGCTGGGAAGCTGGTCACAATGCAAAAAAACATTGGCTAGATACTGTTGGTGAAATGGATTGCATAAAGTAAAATGACTCAATCCTTGTTAATGACTAGATTCTGAAGTCGTCTAGTAGTCTAAATTTAGTTGTTTTTTACATACGTTTTCGTCTACTATAGTCTCATAGCACTTCATTCCTTTGCTACTATATGTGCTTTTCGAAAAATGACAGCTTGAACTGATGCATTCTGTGCAACATCCTCTATGTTGGCAATGAAGTTTATTTCAGCTTGACGATTAAAATGCATCTGAATTAAAATATCTAAAACTTAGCTGATTCATAATCTTACATTTTTAAATGGGTTAAGAATGTGCCTTATACTATCAGAAAAAATAACTCATGCTTTTTATTTCAGCACTAATTGATTGTTCAAATGTCACACTCACTGGATCAAAGTTGGAAGTTATTATCCACTAGCTTAACAGTTTTCTAACTAGACAAGTGAGTTATGAGTAGTTACAAGACTATAGAGCGTCTTCTATTTTTATGCTGAAGTTCATTTCAAGCATTGGTTTTGTAGGGATTTTGCTTGATTGGTTGAAGGATTTCATCATGAGCTGATATCAATAAGGAGAACCATTGGAAAACCTGCAGGGAAAACTGGACAACTGTTTCGTAAGCCCAGCTTGGGACTCTTCAGTAGTACGCACCCCACTGACAGGGTTCGAAACCAGGACCTTCTGGTTACAAGGCTAGTGAGCTCACAGACCATTAAGCCTCTGGGACTCGGTCTAATGGCCAGATCATGAATTCTAACTTCTGCCAATTTACGACATAGCGCGACCACTAGCCAATGTCTTCGACAAATATTTGTCCTCACGCCCGACCTGCTGTACCCTACTGGTCACGGCTTCCCACTATAACTCCAGGTAACTGCCTGAAAAGGGCCAGTCTCTCTCTTGTGGTTGGTTGGAGCTCACCTTGTAACCAGAAAATCCTGGGTTCGGACCCTGTCTATGGATGCGTACCGATGAGGAGTCCCAAACCAGGCTGACGAAGCAGCAGTCCAGGATTACCTTCTCTAATGGTTCTCCTTATTGATGTCAGGTAACAATAAAATCCTCTAACCAAAAAATTCATTTCAGTTAATTATTAAATTATTAAATAAATTAAATAAACAATTATTAAGTCAGAAGATATTTCTAAAAAAGGTCTCACTTACAAAAGGATATATGTTTTATAATAGTGCAATAAAATAGACATTAAAAAGGGTAAGTCTGATAAGAACTCAATAACTGTTTGTTTCATTCAAGCAAACCAAAGCAAATTCACTTCTCTTTTTCCTTTCAGAATATACATCAGACTTAGAATTTATATACATTTGGGTAGTTTAA